AGGAAACAGACAGCACGATGCCACTATAGCACATCAGAAAAGGGTTCACGAGAACGGCACCACCAGTGGGAGCTAACAGTCGGAAATTAAAATATACCCTTATTCAAAGGGAAAGAGCAAGAGTTAGTTGATGAGACCATAAAGTACAAACTAGACATTGTTGGACTCTCGTCAACAAAGCACAAAGATTTTGGAATCCTGAATCTTTGTGGGTGAAACATGTTCTACTCAGGTGTCGATATCACGACGTGCGCTCAAGCCGGTGTTGCTGTTAAAGCAGAACCCAACTTAGCTGATAGAATCACTGATTGGAAGCCTGTCAGCGGAAGGGTGGTAATCCTCCGACTGAAGCTACAACAGACAAATGCGTTGACTTTGGCAGAGGTCTATGCATCCAATTTACACGGGGAATATGATTCCTTTTTTGAGGAAGTGCTTTGAAAGAAGTGCCGAATAAGGACTTCCTCATACTCAAGGGAGAATTTAATGCTCATTCTGGAGTAGACACTGAAAAAAGGAACAGAATGGCTGGAAAAAACGACACTGGCGATATCAACAATAAAGGCATGAAGGTACGGGCTTCTTTAAGCATCGAAGAGCGCATCAGGATACCTGATATGGGGTACTTTGCGCAGAGAAGTCGGCGATCGATTTGATAATTGTATCGTCTGACTTAAGACGCTCAATAATGGATGTTCGCGTTAGGTGAGGCGCAGAGTTATCAACTAATCACTGTTTTGTTGTTGGGACGCTGCGCTATAAGATATGGAGTACTATTCGATGATCTGTAGGCAAAAGTAGCCAGAGAATCAAATGGGAAACATCATATTTGGTGGATACGAGAGCGAAATTTGCAAACAACATCGCACGACGGTTTCAATAGATCCCGATGATGACCACCGATGTGGAAGCAGAGTGGCAGTTCTTTAAGAACAGCATACCTAAGGCTACCGCCGAATGCTGCGGATTTAAACGGGTTGGCCTGCCGTGAGGAGGTCGGAAAAGATCTTCCTGGCGGACATTAAACATACAACTGGCAGGAAAAGAGAAGACAGCGCTCACGAAATAATTTGGAAACATAGAACCTTCTACTCGCGTACGATATGTCAATGCACGCAAGACGGCAACAAGCGGCACAAGGGAAAACCAATGCTGATTTCTGGGATAAGTTCGGTGAGGTGCATCAGTCGAATTTCCACATGGCGAACAAGGTATTCTGGCAGACCATCCGCCGGCTCCGAGGTGAAAAGTAGGGCAGTCTCAGAGTCCTGAACGACAGGTCTCGACACTCTCTTACCAAGGATGATGATATTCTTTGGTGATGGGGGGAGTACTCTGAGGAACTCCTTAAGCCCGTGCAACCGCAGGAAAACTCGCCTGTATAACAGCAGGGAACCGATATTAATAACTCTGCAGATGACATTACACAACCTGTGAAAAGCTGTAAAAAAGGAAAAGGCTGCTGGAACTGATGAAACCCGCCATGAAACGCTCAAGGCATTAGGCGAACAAGGCATGTGCTGCCTAACACGTGTCTGTCCAACAGCAATGACTAAGGGGAAAACACCAGCGGAGTGGAGAACGGGAGTTGCTGTACCCCTATTCAAGAAGGGAGACTACAGGGTGTGCTCCAATTGCAGAGGCATTACGTTATTGAGCCTCCCAGGTAAAGTCTAAGCAAAGGTGCTAGAAAGGAGGTGTCGCGGAATAAATGATTCAAAGATAAAAGAGCAGTGTGGCTTCCGACCCAAACGAAGCACCTCTGACGATACATTTGCCCTGCGCCAGATTGTCGAGAAATCGTGGGAGTACGCCCGTCCGGTGCACAAGTATTTTGTTGACCTAGAAAAAGCTTATGGTCAGGTCCAAGGCAACAGTCTATGGCCATGTGTGCGAGCATACGGGAAAGATGGCCAGCTGCTATGGGCGATCTAATTAGTGTATTTTTACAGCAGGTGCTGCTTCAGAGTAAATGGCGTTAAATCGGAGCCTTTCAACGTTGGCACTTTTCTCCGCCAAAGCTGCGTCCTGTCCCCTCTTTTGCTTGTGTCATATACGGATAGAATATTCAAGAGCAGCCAAAGCGATAAGTGTATCGCTGTAGGAGATGTGCAGACGAGAAGGTTGCTGGTTGCAGACGACCAAGTTTTATTGGCATCTTCTGAAATGTACCTACTGTGCTCGCTGGAAAAGTTCGTCACTGGCATGTGTGTGAATGCATCTAAAACGAAAAGCCTAGTGCTTTCTTGTTCTTGTGCCCGTTGCTTTCTTCAAATTAACGGAAGCAGTGGAGCAGGTGGAGAAGTTCAAGTACCACGGAGTTGTATTTACTAGTGATGGAAAATTGGAGGAAGAGATCGACCGGCGAACTGGAGCAGCCAGTGGCGTTCTGCGTGAACTAGTCTGAACTACTGTGACTAAAGCAGACCCGTCTGAAAACTGAGCTTTCAGTATTCGAGTCGATCTCTATATCCATACTCACCTACGGTCATGAGTCGTGGACAATCACTGAAAAGCTTCGAACCCAGGCACCAGCTGCTGAAATGGGCTTCTTTAGAGGAGTCGCTGGCCGACGCGTCTCGACATGGTCCGGAATACTGACATCCGGGACCACCTCGATGTACTGCCTTTGCTTCTCCAGATTGAAAAGTCACAGCTGCGATGGTTTGGGCATGTGTTGCGAATGCCTCCAGAAAGGAAAGCTAAGCAACTCTTTCTTGACAAACCGAGCGGCAGAAGACTCAGGGGACGGCCGATATTAACTTGGTGCGAATATATGGAGGGGGGCCTGTGCCAAACTCCAGTTGTCTTTTGCCGAAGCTCAGATTCTGGCACAGGAATGGGAACGTTGGAAGGACTGTCAGATGCGTCTATCTCCGCGACCCGAAAAGATGATGATGGTGGTGGTGAGAAAATTAATCGACTGGAATTAAGCTCAACATCCCATCATATAGTTAGGCACGCCTGTTCGCGCATTTTGTGTCGTTTAATTAATTAATTAATTTAATAGGATGATTTTTTCGACAAATTTCGAATTAGCCGAATTTTGTTGCAATATGAATGTTTTCGATCCTTCCATTCGAGTTTATAGTTTGATAGTCTGCGCATCCTCCTCCTAGACATATTCCAGTTAAAGGCTAAAGAAGTCTCTGAGTGTGAAGGCCATGGTACAATTAACAAATCGTTTTAGGGTTAAAAGCAGATCTTCATGACTAAGAAAAACGCAATTTAGGTCATAATTTGCTCTGCGATGCAATTCTAACTTAAATGTTAAGCCATTCTAAGCGCTAGGAATATTTAGGCGAAGTTGATTATGTATTTACTGAAAACTGATCATATAGACAGCCATGAAGATAGAACTCATACACAATAAGCTTTACATGCATCCGCAAAGTTTGATAAATGATATGCAAACGCACCATTTTCTCAAGGGGGGAACAAGTCATCTTCGCTTGATGTTCGATCTCCATTTGCATGTGTGCCGCTTCCTTCGCGCGATACAGTAATAGAACGGTTTCCCAGCGCAGACGCTCGAGCTGAGCGTGGAAATCTTTGTTCTCGGAGTCGAACTGCATCTTGGCCAAGCGACGAAGTTCCGACGCATTTCTGCACGAATCTGGAGCACTACTGACGCTTCCGGCTGGACTCGACGACTACAAAGCGAACGTAACAATGTTAGGCAACACTTCTACCGTGCAGATGACGAATGCGCAACTGGTCACTTGGGTGATTAACAATTACTGCCGTTTCGGACCATGTTCCACGGACATTCTTCAACGTGGACAGGGTTGACTTCCGTAGTTCGTTCCGTGGTTCGCCGGTGTTGTAACGCTGGGAGACTTTCATTATTCAGTCCTGCGAACATGTCAACGGAGACAAAGGAAACAAACTTTGTTTGGACTGGACAAGCCTTGTTAAGCCTGCTACCAAAAAACTGCTCAATCAGCAGCATGGGTTAAAAGCACCCTTCTGATTCCAAGCGCTACAACAGCGGCGAAACACTAGACTACTAAACAACAACGGAACTAAAATAAACTACAGAAATAAACGCTGTCCACCTTGAAGAAATCCCTAAGTCATGAGCCGACACATCGGTACTGGTTAATCACCCAAAAAATCAATTTATCTGCGTTGTATATGAATAAACTGTCCCATTATATATTTTTCAGTTTTCATGTTATCCTTGAGATGATCGAAAGAACAGCTTACAGCAGTAAGAGGATCTTTCAGATTTGGAGTCGATACGCTTTTGGAGACCATGCGCCAACCGTCACCATCGTTCTCCTTCTGTTCATCTGTGTCATCATCTGATAACAAGGCATCGTTTACAAAACAAACCTATTAGAAACGAACTAATTATAAATTTCGGCAGAAAAAAACTTTCAAACAAGTATAAAACAATATTTAGTACATTTGCAAAAACTAAATTAGCAAGCAGACATATACTATGAGATACAACCAGCCATTGCTGAGCAAAACATTTAATAATGCCTTGCGACCAATCAGAGCAAGGTCACTATGTTGAGGCTAGCTTTAATGCGAGACATTTCACATGTTATGCAGAAGTTCTACCTAGTATTAGACGATTTCAGATAAAACCTACAGGGAAATGAAAAAATACAATTTTTCTACAAGTGATCGTAAAACTGTGAGCACTAATAAGTGTGCCTTCGATACGATGGTCTAACGGTAACCAACTACTGAATCTGAACTTAGCTAATTTCTTGATCCATTAATGGGGGCACCAAACAAACAAAACTGATTGGGGGAGTAAAATCTTTTCTTTGGCAAAACGCTTGCTACCACAATGATAGCATCAGCAGGGCACAACTTTGGTACACTGATACTGCGTAAAAATAGACAGTAGGCAGTAGGCAATTAATGTATTGCAATTCACTGATTCACCCATACAGCATACATGCGCTTTTCTGACGTAAAGAAAGCTATGACCGAATCCCGCGTAACAGTCCGTGGACATGCCTAAGAACATATGGGATCGATGGTCAGCTGCTACGGGCCATCTAATCACTCAAGTCAAGACATTTCAGTTTTGGAACTGGTCTCAGAAAGGCTGTGTTCTTGTCCCCTCTACGGTCTGTGTTGTCATGGGCAGAATATTCAGGCGCAGTCAGGACGATGAGTGTATCGGTGTCGGTGTAAGAGATGTCGAGACGAGAAGGCTGCTCTTTGCTGACGCCCTTGTTTTGTTAGCATCTTCCCAAACTGATTTCCAGTGCTGTCTGGAAAGATTCGCAGCCAGGTGTGACGCGACCGATGTGTGTGCGTGTGCGTGCGTCTGCGTGAATGCATCTAAAACGAAAAGCCTACCGCTTTCTCCTTCTCCTGCGCGTTGCTATCTTCAGATAAACGGAGGAGTGGAACAGCTGAAGAAGCTCTACTTCCTCGGGATCATGTTTGCGGTGATGGAAGATCTGAGGAAGAGATCGACCGAGGGACTGGAGCAACCTTTGGCGTTCTGCATGAACTAGACGGAGGGCTGAGTTTGCGTTCAAGATGACTTTCATTCTGATACTCACCAACGGTAATAAATCATGAGCCACGACTGAAAAACTTCGATCCGGGGTACAACTGGCTGAAATGGGCTTAATGAGACGCATCGCTGGGTTCACACCTTTCGAACATTGTCCGGAGATCAAATATTCGAGAGTTCTGATGTACAGAATGAGAATTCTACAGACTTAGAAATCACAGCTACCTTCATTTGGGTAGGTACGTCTTGTAAATGCTTCCAGAAAAAAAAAGTTAAACTGCTACCTGGGGCAAGTGTGTGGAAGAAATTTGTTCCAGAAAGGGATTATCTTCTGCCAATGCTGAAATGCTGGAAAAGGATCGGGATAATTGGAGACATGTCTGAAGCGTCTGCTTCGGCCACCCGAAATGACAAATAGTCATCGAAACTGACTGACATACTGAGCTTCATAATCTCCAGCAACTGCACAATCAACTCATTGTGAAAAGACTTCTTCAGTACTACCGCCATCTTCTTCAATACTTTAGGCGACCTTTATGGTATTTGCGTTGAGAAGGCTGTAATCTTTTCCACAACAATCCGCCTGTACCTTGCTTCTATCAAGTCAGTGCTGTCGTGCGGTCTGGAAACAGCTGTTGCAAAAAACGAGGCAAGAATGACGGATGAATTTTATGCAGAAACATTGCGTCGACGAATGAAGTTTAAATGGCAGAAAAACCTTGAGGAATCACTCTGTTCTGTTTTGGAGATATGAAAAAAAAGGATAGCCCTTTTGACAAACTGGCTGGGCATAAGCCATCTTATGCAGCCCATGGGCTTGTCCCGTGGGAGTGTGAACACAGCAGACGTCGGCATAGTGCTGCTCTCACCTACCGGTAACTTATTGTTATTCGTCAGTTTGTCGCCCGTGTAGCACACATGACATCGCCCATAAAAACGAACAGGAAGTCCACATAGATGTCCAGTACTTTTATATTTTCTCGATTGAGTGTCATTTGTGACACTCTTCTTTTATGAAACCTGTACTGCAGAACAAGTCTTCATTTCCGTAATCAGCTAGGAATGATTTGCTTTCAAGGCTGAACCCAAAGCTGGCTGATCTGTATCGCGTGTAATCTCCTGTTTCATTCCCAAGATGTCGTAATCAATATTTTACAACAGACGAGTGA